GAGGTGTTGTAATAATGTAAAATATGTGAAAAATAATGTGTTTTAACATCATAAATGCCACTTTTGATCAATTTAATGTGTCCTTGCCAAATAAAAGTATTAATAAAAAAAAAAAAGATTGGTAGTGTATGTGGGTCTGATTTTCCCGTCTTTGTACCTGAAAAGGAAGTGAAATCTGAACTTACCCTACTGTGGGGACGAGTTAACAGTCCCTTTAGGGAAAATTGCTTAATATATACATATTAAATAATGTCTCAATGAATGTCAGAAAATGCAGAAAGGTTTCTGTGTGGAGTTAGGATACAGAAAACATCATTAGCTCAGTAAAACAAACAACAGACCCACCATTATTGGAAAAACAAATATGTGTGTGTGTGTGTGTACATGTTTTTCTATCCCGGTGGGGACATAAACCTGAATACACACAGACTCATGGGGACTTGTGTCACCATGGGGACCTCAATTTAGGTCCCCATGGGCAAACAAGCTTATAAATCATACAGAATGAGTTTTTTTGAGAATGTGAAAATGCAGGAAGTTTTCTGTGAGGGATAGGTTTAGGTGTAGGGTGATAGAAAATACAGTTTGCACAGTATAAAAATCATTACGCCTATGGAGAGTCCCCACATGGATAGTAAACCAGATGTGTGTGTGTGTGTGAATACCTCTGGTTACCCACAACCTGCCATTTCCCTTGTGTATGTTTGGCAGCACACTGGCAGACGCCAGAGTAAAATAAGGACTGCAGCCATGTCTACAGAAACTATTAAGTGTAACTCTAGATTATATATATTCACCTATTCAGCTCATGGCCTTGATAGAGCACTTTGTGAAAGCACTTGCACCGTTTCCCACATCCAGAATATTTTCCCAGAAGTGCAAGGGCAAAAGAGTTTGCTGAGAGGAACACACTGATACTTAAAACTCTTGAAATAAGTACACACTTGTGTCGAGTGAACATCCCAGAGCACTCACGCTTCCAGTGCTGTGGTCTGGAGGATTTCAAATCAATGTTCTGGCTTCATTGTGAGCTAGGCTTTGCTGCTGTATGCTGTCGGTGATCACACATAATAATTTAGACTCGTTCCTCGGTTCTCAAGCAAAAAATGGTTTTATAGTAATGCGCTTACTTGTGAGAAAAGTAAAAAGCTGCACCTGAAATCATGTACTGTCAGTAAATGTTCTGCATTTGACAAAGAACTTAATTCTTGGCCATCAGTAAAGTGTGGTTTATCATATATGCATTCATGTAGTATGAATATAGTAGTATATCAAAATAAGACATATAGTGTTTCATGAATACTGGATATTTACACATGCTACTCATTTGGCATACTGCTTTTCTCATGATGTTCAGATGAAGGTGTACAGTATTTTGAGTATGTAACCATAAGATGGATGTAATATTCAAAAGTTTGGTGTAAGATTTATTTATAAAAGAAATTAATACTTTTATGCAGCAAAGATGCATTCAGTTGTTCAAAAGTGACATTAAATCCAATGGCAATGTAAGAAAAGATTTCTATTTCAAATGAATTCTATTCTTTTCAGCAAAGAATCCTGTTTCCTCAAATACACGAAGCAGCGCATCGGTTTTTAACATTGATAATAGTAAGAAATGTTTCTTAAGCAGCAAATCAGCATATTAGAA